ATGGCTACCCAAAGTTAGCCAAAAGTCCAGGGACACAACCCTCGGGGTTGATCATTCACTAGAAGGATGCACAGAACCCCTGCAAGCTGCCGTCCCCACGGTTGTGGTTTATCACATGAAAAAATGCAGATTAAAGTCAGTCAGGGAAGAGGCTCATGGGGCAGTCTGGCAGGGTTCCAAATGCAAAGCCTCTGTTGTCCTCAGGAAGCCTTACCCTGCCAGCATCAACATGTGACCACAGAGTGCTGCCAGCCAGTGTCCCGAGTCTTTACAGGGCCTTCATTCTGTAGGAAGAGTGATCGATTGATGATTGCCCACTGGGAGACTGACTGACAGATGCCTTGTGATCCAAAGCCCCCATCCCACATTGCATGGTTGCTCTTTCTGACATGGTCAGACCCTGTTCTAAACAAAGACCCCCAGTCAGACAGGATATAGATGACCTCCCTAAAGCCAAGAGCACCTGCCAGACCTCAATGTGGACCAGTGACCTCTTTACTATACATGGGGCCTGAAACACAGGGTGATACTGTTCCCACCTCCCTGGCTTTGGATCCTGGGGAGTTTTACCTTCAGTTTTCCTGGCCATAAAACAAAGTCAGTTGCATTTTTCTCCTGAGGCTGCAGAGATCCAAGTTCTGGCAGAGTCCAGCATGCACTCCAGGTGACTCTGGGGATGGAACCCAGAGCTTTCTGTGTCCCATGCAAACATTCCACCTCTGAGCTACACCCAGCCCCACACTCTTAATAAGAAGATCAAGGAATATGTTTCCCTGCTTTTTGAGTGACTCAGGATTGTGTTTAAGGTAAGCCTCTTTCCTCTTTGGAACCTCGGTTTCCCATATGTAAAATGGGAAAATTGGGCTCAGATGACCTCAGGTCCCCTGCAAGTGGCAAAGGGGTCAAAGTGGGTGGCAAGGACTGATGTGAATCCCAAGTCTGCCTCTCAGCACAACCCTCATCTCCGCAAAACCAAGTGGCAGACTGGGCAGCCTGCAGGCGATTAATTGTCCTGCCCTGGAGGGCATCACTATGATTTCTTCTTCCTATGGAAGTGGCCATTGCAGCCGCCTCCCCCAGGCTGTTCTCTTGGATTGCACTGGGCTTGGGAGCACTCTGAGCAAGAGGCTCAGCGGGAGTGCTGGGATTTGGACCATGTTCTCGGCAGCTTAGATGACATCCCTGCTCATTTCCAGGTTCTCAGTGGTTTTCTGGATAGATGAGGCAGCTGGGGAGGTGACTCTAGGGACACAAGAGGTGCTTACATCATCTCTGGTTCTGCAGTCCTCTAGGGACCATGCTGGCTGGCACCTCTCCCAGACTCCAGAGCCATGGGCTGGATTCCTCCTGGCCAGACTGAAAGCAAAGCTCCAGCGAACTTACTGTGACCAAGGCTCATCAGTCAAGTTGTCTGGGGGAAACTGGGTGCTGAGCTGGCTCTGTGGCCCCTGCATCACCAGCCACACCTCAGCGGGCGCCAAGGAAACCCTGAACTCCTGCCTTCTCCTCTCCTTGCCAGTTCTTGAGCACTGTCTTCACAGAAAATGTGGACCTCGTTGGATGGGGTCCAGACGCAGGGAATTCCATTGTTCTGGCTGCTGCTGCAGCATCTGGGGGCCTGGCCCAGGCCTGGATATGTGCAGCTTTCAGCCTGGCTTTCCTCCCAGCGGCTACAGGTCTTAGGACAGCCATCCAGGAAACTCAGCCCAGACAATTCTTGGCCTGGGAGACAGCCCTGGGAAACTCCTGGTCTGTCTTGCCCCTCCCTCTGTTCCAGATTCTTCTGCCAGATGCTTTCAATGGCTCAGCCCTGAGTACTCTCTCTTTACGGTCTTCCTCTTCCTTGTCTTTAGCTCGAAAACCCCATTTCACTCAAAGAAAGAAAGGAAAGTGAGTGCAGTAGCCTCACTCATGGCTGGTGATTGCTGCTGATCCTGGGAAGAAGGCGAGCCTCTGAACGAGGCTGAATCCTAGTTCCTGATTGTGTGGTGATTCTCTGGGCCTTCTAAGCAGTGGTAGGACCCAGGGTTCAAATGTTCCTTCTGTAAAGTGAGGTTAAGTCTCAGCCTCTAGCCATAGTTGTGCCAGGATGGGCAACACTGTGTCAGAGAACCACCAGTACTCTGGCCACAGTGCAATAGAAGGCTTCTTTCCTGCCCTGTCCCCCAGGTGTCTTCTGTCCCTTCTAGGAGCTGGGGCTGTCAATTCCAATGAGCTTTCCTCTCTAGCACCAGATTCCTCAGCATTTCAGACCATATGTTGGAGGTCTCTTTTTCTTCCTTCGGGAACTTCTCCTTAGGAAAAGTTTTCAGTGACCAAACACACTACAACGTTAGTCCATAATTAACTCCCTTGCATTTCGAATCAGGGAAACAGACACTTGCCACATAAACTCTGAGGTGTCCCATCTGTGTATTCATCTCTTAGGGCTTCTGCGACAAAGTAACACATACCTGGTGGCTTTAAACAGTAGAAATGTATTTATTGTCTCAGTTTGGGAGACCAGAAGGCTACAATCAATAGGAGGCTGGTTTCCTCTGAAAGTTCTGTGGAGAGACCACCCCAGGCTTCCCTCTCACTTTCTAGTGGCTCCAGTTATCCTTGGCACCCTGTGGCCTGGAGACACACCACTCCAATCTCTGGCTCCATGTCAAATAGTGCTCTTCTCTCAGTATCTTTGTGTACCAATTCCTTTTTCTTATAAGGACACTATCTTTGAATCAGGGCTACCCTAATCCAGTATGGCCTCATCTTAACTTCCTAACATCTTCAAAGATCTTATTTCCAAATGAGGTTACCATGCCAAGGATTGAACTTAAACATCTTTTTTGGAGTCACAGTGCAACCTACTACATCTGAGTTATGTCACATTAACAATGGGCTTTCTGGCCTTAGAAGAAAATACTCATTTTGTGAGGCATTAGGAAACATGGAAAGAAACTCCTGGACCCCATGCCTCCGTGGGTGGACCTTGGCAGAACTGCAAGGCTGATGTTGGGGACACTTTTGGATCTGGGGCCAAGTAGGGATACTGGGGCTCTCTCTGTGGCTATGGGAGCAACTATTGATAATAGGACCCAGAACTTTCCCCATCCATGAGAACAGGCACTGTTCTGTTCATTCCCAGAAATGCAGAACCCCCAGGTCAGAATCTGTGGGGGAGGTATGGGGTAGGACTAGTATCCTCACTGTGCAGGTGAAGAGACAGGCCACCTGCCAAGGCAGTGTCAGATTAGGGGTGGGTATCTTGCCCACCCCACCGCTCACAGCCAGCAGTTGCCTGGTGCCAGGGAAAGAATTTACCTGGCCAGACACCAACCCACTCCTGGAGTTGGCCTTGGTCTTAAGATCACAGCAGGGCCTTCATTCTGCCTTGTGGTCCCAGCAGCCTTGAATACATTGGAGAAAGAGCAGCTGGAGCCAAAATCCCCCTGAGTCCCTGGCCTTTAGAGACCAAGAATGTAACTTCCCTCCTCCTGCTCAGGCCACTATTTCCCAAGTGGTGTCTCCAAGCTATCCAGAGAATGGAAACCACAGCTCTGCAATGGCCTCTTGTCCCTGGGCCTTATCACAGGAAAACAGGCAAGTCAAGACAGATAAGTAAAGGACAGGTCTCCTGGCAAGCTACTGCCCAGCCTGCCAGGAAGGGCCCCATCTGCCCATTGAGCTGACCAAGCCCAGCACAGTAGATGGAAGAGTCCAGGTGTGGAAACCTGTTTCTCAGAACTCAGGAGGTCCTGAAATAAGGCCCCAGGGCAGTGAGCAGGCAGAGCCAAGAGGATGTACCCACTGCTTCTGGGGTGAGGAGGGAAGGATGTGTCCAGGGTCCATGTGTCCATGTGTCCAAGGACACCTATTGTGTGTCCATCCTCCTCTGTTCTATAAGAAGTGTGACTGAGTAACAGTCAGGACCCCAGGATCAGGCACTGTCTTTATCTCAGGTCTTAAGAGATTCAACCTTCCTCAAAAGGAGGCCAAATGGGAATTGAATGTACCCGCCACCCCTTACACTCGCACTGTTATGGCTTATCTGCCAGGCCTTGGTATTTCACAGGCACTGTATTTCACAGGCACTGCATCTCTATTATACTCTATCAAAGACATGAATGCACAAGGAGTTTAAGTAACTTGCCCAAGATCGCACAGCTGCAGGTAACCAAATCAGGCTCAGAATCCATTCACGCCCATCCTACAGACAGGCCCCTTGGCCCCTTGTGGGGTTCTGCAATCTGGACTGCCGGCTGGGGGGGAGGTTGGTCTAGTCCCTCTGGGCCGGACCCCTGCAGGAAGCGTGCAGTAAATGTGCAATTATCGAACCGACGGGTGAACACACGGGGAGAATACAGGAAACGTCCCAACCTCGGGGTCCAAGTTGTTACCAATGAGTAACCTCCTCCGACTTTGGGGCTAGGCGCCCCTCCCGAGGGCCAGAGAGCGGGCGGAGCCTCTGCCTACGGGCCAATGACAACGCAGGGGCGGTGCATGTGGGCGGGGCGAACGGTCCCTGGGCAATGGGCGGGCGGAGGAGTGCAGGGGCGGGGCCATGGAGCTAAAGGACCAATGGAGATGCACTGGCGGGCGAGCAGGGCACGTTGGAGGG